GATGCAACTTAAGGTGTTGCAAGTTTGATTGCTCATCTTCCAAGGATGCTTAGGGACACTGTGGGTCAGAAAACAACTTCTCAGGCAAAAAAAAAAGAGGAACACTTAAATAATACCTTGTCCTTTATTAATAGTTCAGTTAGGTCCTTGGTTATTTAAATGGCATCACGTACTCATCACCCTGATGGCAAAAGTGAGCTGAATAGAAAGAAAGTGGGGCATACCCACAACACTTCTCCATCCCCAAGGACACAGAAACTCTTGGAGGTGCAAGCAGTCACCCTCAGAGTGGCATGGGGCTGAGTCAGCTCTCCTGCCCAGCAGCCAGGCAGCAGGACTTGGCTTGTACATGGCAGCTGGGAAGGAAATATAGATGTTCAAGTTTTACATAATGTGTTGAGTTTCCTTTCTCACTCAGAAACCTATGTGCCCCTTTGTCCCTTTTTTGTTTGATTCTTTTAGTTGGCAAAGAAAAGGGATACATAAAGGAGGCTTATTATACGAATATGCAGGAGGAAATAGCAGCTAGAACTTGTGAAAGGCAGCAATTGCCTTTAAAGTATGCCTTACGGAGACTGATTTGACATTTGGAAGCTGGAAGATTGTTCAGAGGAACTCACTGATTCCTCAGAAACAGGCATTATTTTTCAAAGTATACTAGTGCTCTATGATTTGGGTGACTTTCTTCTGTTCTCCCTATCTCTCTGCCTCTTATATTTTGGGGTCTATGATTACTTTTTCACTCTTCATCACACTAGCCTATGTTTTTCATAGGATCTGTTTTCTCAAGGTTTTTGAAACCATTATCTGAGTCTCTCTGCATGCCTTAGAGTTACAGGAGAATCTGGTTCATTTGGAAATTCACCTTCTGGTTCAAGGAATGCCCACTGGGCTTTTTGTCACAGTAGACTGGTGACCATTCATACTTTGGTAAAGTCAAGGGGCATAGACAACATGCTTATTGAAAGCTGGACAGTGAGCACTAGCCGTTCAATATAATTCAGCTGAAGAAATCCCAGATTTGATTTGTGCCCCTCAGAGAATACTTAAATATGCTCAGTGCGTCAGAAAATGAAGGAGCCTGTTAGGTGCAGTCAACTTTGGTAAAGAGGAGAGCACCACTGTCCATGGTCCTGGATGCCACTGTTCCCGGCAGAAGGCAGCAGTGGACATGGATATTTTCCTTAGGATAGCCTTTGCACACAGCAGGCACTTGGGTTCTTTTTTCTTTCTTTCTTCTTCCATTCCTTCCCAGACTAGAAATAATTCAAGAATGCAATAATGAAATGTTTATAAAGTTTACTAAGAATAAGGACCAACCTGTGCTTAGAACAGAATTTTGTGGTACATGTAAAAGGAAGCTTCAGTTCAGTTCAGTTCACTCACTCATTTATGTCTGACTCTTTGTGACCCCATGGACTGCAGCATGCCAGGCTTCCCCATCCATCACCACCTCCCGGAGCTTACTCAAACCCATGTCCATCGAGTCGGTGATGCCATCCAACCATCTCATCCTCTGTTGTCCCCTTCTCCTCCTGCCCCTAATCCCTCCCAGCATCAGGGTCTTTTCAAATGAGTCAACCCTTCACATGAGGTGGCCAAAGTACTGGAGTTTCAGCTTCAGCATCAGTCCTTCCAATGAACACCCAGGACTTATCTCCTTTAGGATGGACTGGTTGGATCTCCTTGCTGTCCAAGGAACTCTCAAGAGTCTTCTCCAATACCACAGTTCAAAAGCATCCATTCTTCTATGCTCAGCTTTCTTTTAGTCCAACTTGAGAGACTATAGTCCATCTATACATGACTAATGGAAAAGCCATAGCTTTGACTAGACGGAACTTTGTTGGCAAAATGACCACATATACCATGGAAATAAAAGTTAACAGCCTCAGGAACCTCTTGACTAGTGAGGCTAGTATGGCTGGGAAGAGGCACCCAGTGAGAGGCAAGTGGTTTTCTCCTTTCTTCTTTATTTGGATTTCTTTTCTCTATAGTCAAGTTGCATTCCTTTCATTCACATTCTTTTTTTGGCACTAGCAACTTATCAGTGGTCTCCCTCACTTCTGAGATAGTTTCCCTGCAAATTGTTAAAGATTCTAAACAGAGCACTGTGGTTTATTTCTATCATTTAATTTCAATAATTAGTGTATTACTTTTTTATAATTGCAATTTTAAAATTTTATGTCCTTCTTTGAATAAGAGTTTGATTGCCCCTGTTTGCATATGTGACTAATACTGTTTGGTCTGCACTGAGAGAATTTTTCTTAATGTTTTAATTAAAAGCCATGCAAATAATTTTCATCTACTATTATATATAATAAATATTGGTATTAGATTAAACTGTGTTGTACAAACATGCCTTCAAAAGAAGTTCCCTGTAATAGAGATTGGTTTCTTGCAGAATTTATATCAATGAATACAATAGTCAAATCTAAAATTGAAAAAACTCACAAAAAGTTGAAAGTTGTAGTTTCCGACCAAATCTGTCTAAATTATACTTTGTAAAATAATGCATAAAATTTAAAGACAAATGAGAAATTATAACATTTTATAGACATATATCTCCTAAAAATACTAAGTAAAAATAAGTAAGAGCAAGATACAGAAAAAAATATTCTGTAGATATTCAAGGTATTTGGGACAACTTTTTCTTATTTTTCATAGGTAAAACTCTAATGCCAAGAATATAATTTCATGTTTTTGTAATGTAAAAAAGTTATACTTATAAATTATGCCTTATAATGATCTTACTATGGAGACATGAATCTCTTCTTTTTGTTTCTCTTTATATTCTATTTCACCACCGCTCAAAGATAATAAAGACCCCAGGCACTGCAGTACTTACTAACCTGTTTCTTTTAAGTGTGGAATTGGTAACAGTTCCAATTCAAGTTTGAGATGAATATACATACACATATTTACATATACATATAAAATCCAGCAAGTGTTTCACATATGAGTTTACTGGTGATTGTTAACTGAAAGTTGATAATAATTGCTTTCACTGTTATTGTTAAAGTTGAGCACTTGGAGCCCTGTTAGCAATCTCATATCGAACATAAGGGTATTTTTCAAAGTCTTGATGGATGTGTTTCATGTTTTAGCTAGACAGAAAGCTTAAATGCAGATAATTTAAATGGATGAGCTGTCTGAATACTTTCCTTTCTAAAACTATATTCATTCTAAAGCTCTTTTGACTAGTACCTTTTTAATCTCTGACAGCTAATAGTTACTTTGTATCCTCAAGCACTTAACCAAGGGTAGAAACCATTCTAGGCTTAACTTCACACAAGTTCTGGTTTAGGAAATTGCTGCCAACTTGGACCAATTCCCTCTTGGTGGTTACATTTTCTGTTCTCAGTGGACCAGCCTAGTTCAAGTCTTTACAGCCTTTTTCCTTGGAGTTTCAGTAGCCTTCCTGTCTGAACTGTGCACACAGTCTTAACTCTGGCTGCCAAATTAATGTTGTTCAAAACACATTTTCTGATCTTGTCAATTTCATATAAATGAAATTAAAATGACTATTAAACAGTAGTCATTTAATTAATGTAGTCATTTAATTAAATTCAATGACTACTTAATGGTTTAAAATATATTATAAGTATTTCCTAAGTTCAGGAATTGGGCTGAGCCCTGCTAATACAAAGATGAATAAAACAGCATTCTTGCCTATAGATATTTACAGATTTCTAGGGAACAAATATATATATTATTTACTAAGTAGAATTTACTAGAAATTAAATGCATAAATTTATAGCCCTATTGACATGTCAGTATGCATATTTAAACACATATGTGTTACAGAATCACACAGATAGGTCTCGGATATGTCAGTTCAGTCAGTTCAGTCACTCAGTTGTGTCCGACTCTTTGTGACCCCAAGGACTGCAGCATGCCAGGCCTCCCTGTCCATCACCAGCTCCTGGGTTTACTCAAACTCATGTCCATTGAGTTGGTGAGGCCATCCAACTATCTCATCCTCTGTCATCCCCTTCTCCTCCCACCTTCAATCTTTCCAAGCATCAGGGCCTTTTCAAATGAGTCAGTTCTTTGAAGCAGGTGGCCAAAGTATTGGAGTCTAAGCTTCAACATCAGTCCTTCCAATGAAAATTCAGGACTGATTTCCTTTAGGTTGGACTGGTTGGATCTCCTTGCAATCCAAGGGACTCTCAAGAGTCTTCTCCAACACCACAGCTCAAAAGCATAGATTCTTCAGTGCTCAGCTTTCTTTATAGTCCAGTGGAAAAACCATAGTCTTGACTAGACGGACCTTTGTTGGCAAATAAATGTCTCTGCTTTTTAATAAGCTGTCTAGTTTGGTCATAACTTTTCTTCCAAGGGGCAAGCATCTTTTAACTTCATGGCTGCAATCACCATCTGCAGTGATTTTGGAGCCCCCCAAAATAAAATCTGTCACTATTTCCACTGTCTCCCCATCTATTTTCCATGAAGTGATGGCACCTGATGCCATGATCTTAGTTTTCTGAATGTTGAGCTTTAAGCCAACTTTTTCACTCTCCCCTTTCACTTTCATCAAGAGGCTCTTTAGTTCTTCTTCACTTTCCGCCATAGGATATGTAATGTGGGTATAAACATAAGTCCATTGATTCTAGTATGCAAAAAATAACATTGCATTTTATAGAAAAATTCAACTTCCAATCTGAGCCTTTATACTACTCACATGACAGAGATACAGTGCGTTTGGACCAGATCCCTCCTCACTAGGCAACCCTGGATAAATCCTGGAAGTTAATGTACATCTCTGCCATTGACTCTATGTGTGTCCCCAGAATTTCTATATTGAAACTTAAATCCCAGTGTGATATTTGGAGGTGGTGTCTCTGGGATGTGATTGAGACATGAGGACTGAGCTCTCATGAGTAGAATTAGTGCTTTTATAAAAGAGACTCGGGGGAGGCACTTGGGAATCATGATTGCCAGACAGGTCCTAAGACCCTTAACGACGGCGGGGCCATAAGGGGTCTGAGGATAACAACCGTTCAAAGCTCCTTACAGGCGGAAGCGTAGAGCACGCCCTCTTCCAGGCCAGGTGGGCCTGCTCTCAGGGCGCAGCCGGGGTGCAGACTGCGCATGTGCTGCGGCTGACGGCGTCCAGGTGCTCTGGGTCCGTCCAGCTTCCGGTCGGCGTAGGAAGAGGGTGGGCCACCGGCGAGAGAGCCAGCTGGGCTCTGTAAGCCACACTTGGCTGCTAGGGTCCGTATGTCTTTTAAAAAGAGAGAGAGAAAGATTCCAAGAGAGCTCCCATGTACCTTCCACTATGTGAGGCCACGCTGAGAAGACGGCCAGTTGTTGAACCAGGAACCTGCTCTCTCCAAACACTGAATCTGCTTATTCCTTCTTCTTGGACTTGTCGGCCTTCGGAAATGTGAGGAAATCTTTTCTTTCTTTCTTTCCTTTTTTGCTTACTGGTCGCCCAGTTTATGGCGTTTTTGTTACAGCAGCCGAGGTACTAAGACAGCCCCAGTGAAGGGAAGGTGTATGGCCTTGCATGTTGCCTGAGGGTGCAGGCAGTCACTGAGGTGACCTCCATCCTGTCTGGTCCACTCACGTCTCTGATAAAACATGCTTTGTTCGCATCTACTTGGCCATTTCAAGTGTGGTTCCGCCTTCCTCCATTTTCTGTTTGTTACTTCAAGTTCTGGAACCTCTTCAAACTGTCTTTTTTAAGTGTTTTGTTTATGTTTTTTTAACCCCCTAGTGAAGTGAAGTGAAGTCGCTCAGTCGTGTCCGACTCTTTGCGATCCCATCGACTGTAGCCTACCAGGCTCCTCCCTCCATGGGATTCTCCAGGCAAGAATACTGGAGTGGGGTGCCATGCTCTCCTCCAGGGGTCTTCCCAATCCAGGGATAGGGCCAGAACTCATGCTATTTGTTTGGGGCTAATATTCTAGACAGTATTTAAAAGACGTTTTTCAGAAAACCATAATCTGATATGGAAATCTAGCATTTCACTTTAAGATCAGTATCCACTCTGGTATATTATAATAGACTTGCCAGTTAAGTATGAGCAGAACTCTTAAGATTTTGATGTTCTATGTTGCTGTCTAATCACCTATCTAAAATAGATAATGATGGTAATTGATAATTCTTTTACTTGTTGAGTGTTTATTTTGTTGAGATTATAAGTGAAATTTTTAATATGAATTATCTTACTCAGTCCTCCACAACCATAATACAATATGCATGCTCAGTCATGTCCAACTCTTTGCGACCCTGTGGACTGTAGCTCTCCAGGTTCCTCTGTCCGTGGCATTTCCCAGGCAAAAATACTAGAGTGGGTTGTCATTCCCTTCTCCATGGAATCTTCCTGACCAAGGGATCAAACCTGTGTCTCTTGCATTAGCAGGCAGATTCTTCACCACTGCACCACCGGGGAAGCCCTATAATATGATATACTAGATTTTAATACATCACTTTTGTAAATGAAAAGTTAAACCTTAGAAAGGTATAAAACTTATCCAGAATTACACAGTGAATTGAGTCTTACCTGAGACTCTGGCACATATGTCAAGTTTTGGGAGGACAGAGTACAGACAATGGAAAGGAGTATTATAAATTAAGCCCTGTGTTGTATGTTTTCTTTATCCCAAAACTGGCATAATAGTGGTATGTATCTCATAGAGTTTTGCATATTGAGAATAAATAAGGTACCTAAAGCATTTAACATGTTTACTACACCTACAAAAAGCAATAAATGCTCTTCTCTCCATGGGATTTCCCAGGCAAGAATACTGGAGTGGGTAGCCATTCCCTTCTCCAGGCTATCTGTCCAACTCAGGGATCAAACCTGGGTCTCCTGGTTAAAAGCAGTTGCTTTACCATCTGAGCCACCAGGGAATCCCCAACAAATGCTAATTGTTATTCTTATTAAAATTTTCATGAAATGAGTTAGAGGTAACTATATTTGGAATAATAGATGTATAAAGGTTTCATTTAAGTATAAGTAATGTGGTGTAAACCGCACTGAGACATTGCAAGTGGCATCTTACCAGTGGCTAGCTATGAGACAGACTACGGTGCCACTGATGGGAATATCCGTTGACTGTCTATCTATTTTCGAATAACTTTTGTTATCTCTTTGTTTTCTTCATATTCTCTGTAATCCTCCTTACCACCTCCCTCTCATGTCTTTCTCCATACTTCTTCAAATGGTCCAGCAATTTTCCTTTATGTTTTTCTATGTCATTTACCTGTCAGGCTGTTAACAATTGGCTATAATATTGCACTTAGGAGCCTGCCTGGGAGTTGTTTTTCTCATATAGGTCCTTAGGGATTGACCTCTCCCACCAAAATGTTAATTGAGCAATACCATATATAACAGGCTAAGATGAAAATATGTAGGAATACTCTCCTGCATTCAAAATCATGAGAATTCAGGGTGAAAATTTTAATTTACTTGTGGGGAAATTGTTTTTCACTTCTCAAAATTGTATTTATGTAAAGATATGTTTCATAATGACAATGACATGTTTTGCTAGTATATATATTTTATGATGTCACTTCCTGAGAGCGGGCTCTAGCTCTTGTCCTTGTGCTCCCAATGCCTGGAAGAGTGCACACAGTAGGTGCTTAAAAGTGCTGAAAGAATAAGGACGTAATTAACCATAACTCGTTGTTACATAAGTATTAATTATAGTAATAATTATGGTGCGTGAACCTGTACTCCTTTTTTGGACAGTATACCCATTGACAATGTTTCAGCTCAGGTCTCATTGATTCTGGGAGACGTATGTACAGAAGCACATACACACTGCACAAACAAGGCCCAAATCTAATTTAATCAATAATTTAAATATTTGCTTCACTGTGGAAGCCTAACATTGATGATGATATGCACAGATCTGTGTGATTTTCTAAAGAAGCCCAATGATGCTTTTCAGAACTGTTTTTCCCCCTAAAAATGTCCTAGGGATAAAGCCTTAGTGGACTTTTTTTTCTGTTTGCAGGCATGTTTTAACTGGCCTACTTGAAATACTGTTATGAAACTTAGGGAATCCATGGTTATTACCTGTGAATTTCATGTTTATATTTTTGGTTATAGCAGACAGACTTTAAAATTTGACTTATAAAGAAAGACCTCTGAATACCAGATGATTAATATTTTTTACAAAAACAAGGATCAAATCGAGAAGCAAAGGAATTCATTACCCTTAGTAAAATAAAATGACTAATGTGCAAATATGGGAAAGGTCATTGTGTTTGATGCTTGCATTATGCATAAAAAGATGAGACTTCTTTTGAAGTGTTTATTATAGTGATTTGCCATGGGACTGAGTTATAAAATCAGTGCATGTAATTAAAATGCAAACTGTCTGAGTCCTGTGGTAACACACTAGTGGCTTAATACAACCTAGGACACACACACTTGGTTATTTGTTACCATACTTTTTGTTTAAGGAATTAGCTATCTATGGACAAGATGCGTAACCTCATAATAAAACAGAGACAGTTGACATCTCAATATGATTTGACTTTCTCCTGTCTAGTGAAAGATAATTTCATGGGCTTTATCATGGGAGTGTTAAACTAGAAATTTTTTGAAGGGAGCAGAGAGTGGTGACCTGATGATTTTAGTCAGAACATATGAATTCACATTATGGCTTGCTTCCTTTTCCTTTTGATAAGACTAAGCCAATATCAGCCTCCTTCAGCCAGTGATTCTTCATCTTCAGGGAGGACTGGGAAAGCAGTATCCGCTCTCCTATCACCAAATAATTTTTTTTAAATATAAAATTACATAAAATGCTACTTAAGCTTCAAAAGTAATAATTTTCTATATTGCAAAGGATTGATAGGAGTGAGACATTCTTAATGACCACAGTGAGCCGGGGATAGATCTTAGGATACTTGCTGACTTCTCTGTGGCTCTTGCACAATCTCTCACAGTTGGGAAAGATGTTTGTACAACTATGCCTTTAGTTTCAGTTCTTCTTCTAGCACATCCATGATTTTTTTATGTCACTTTTTGAGGACCAGGTTTCCCAAGCATTTTACAATTTAGCTTTTACGCATCTATGCAAGAGATTTATGTGTACTATTTTTGAATGTTTTTAAAGGAACTGTTTGGAAGTTTTATTCTTTCTATTGATTATTTTTTTGGCTCAGTTAATAGGTTGCCACATTACTTAGTGAGTCTAAAATTGAATATCCTGTTTGTATATCTGAAGCAGGTAATGGGTAACTATTGTCATTTTGAGGCTGGTAGTGTTCACTTGAAAGTAAAAATTACATTGATTCTCTGACTTGAGTAAAAATACTTTCTACAGAAAATGTTCATGACACTTTGTTCTAGACTTAAAAAAAAACTCTGTAACTGTCACATCTAAGACATATGCTGTCTTTGTTCAAGTTCCACCAAAAAAAATGAGTTTATAGTTGTACTGAAGGCAGTTATCTTCAAATATTATGTTTAGTTATTTAAATAATTTCTATAATTGAGAATATGTGGATTGGTTTTAGCTAATGACATAGTTTTCTAAATATCTTAATGAAAAAAAAAAACCTCTCCATGCAGTTCAGATATAACTAGATTATTTAATGAACTACCTGGAGAAAATGGATTCAGCAGCCTTGGGTTACCAGCTGTGTAACCTTGAGAGACTTAATCTCTCTAACCCTCAGTTTCTCTTCCATGAGATACTGACATAAATGATAATATCTAATCTAGTTGTACAGATTTGTGGTTGAAATCAAATGATGCTTATATATTGTACAAAGATGTACTATAAAGTATAAAATATTACATACTTTTTTAATACTAGTAAATATCTATCATAATAAAACATCATTTAAATACATTTCAGTGTTGCAGGCTCTTTTCTTCTTGGAATGCCTTTGTTAAAAGAAAGGCTACCAATTTCTATCTTTTTGGTTTCTTTCTATTGTCTCTTCCTCCTCTGTATGTCTCTTCTGGTGTAGATGTTAGTATCCTTTGGTATTTGATCTGCCTTCTTCACTCCTTATAGTCCACTGGTTGGAATTTTTCTGTAATTCACTAATCCATCTAGGGCATGACTGTCTCCTGAGTCATATTTCTCATTGTGGAAAAGTGTAATAGCACTCATCAAATCACTGATCCCAGATATATTTCTTCTTTAACTTGTGTATTCAGCAGATGACCAAGGTCCGCTAAATTGACCGCTCAGATATTTCCCAGATCTCTCTATAGATGCTCTCTTTGTTCAAGCCTCTCTCATTTGGATT